GGGCTGGAAAACGTGGTCGGGGCGTCGCTCTTTTCGTTACTCGCCGTTTAACGGGCTGCTTGTCGTCGGTCGGATTGAACGAGAATTTCTATTTAGAGCTGCGAGACAAATAGTCGCTCGCGAAGTTGAAAACGTAACTAGACAATGGTGAATGTTTAACAACGTGTATCGTACGCTGACGTATCGCGTTTTGGACGCGATTCAAAACGCCGTTGTACGAACTCGTTGCGATTTCGCGAAGGGAATCAATTCTCTTTGGCAAGGAGAGATATTAATCGCAAACAATGGAGAACGTTATCTCGGATTTCGTTCGAGATTACGTTCGATGGTGTTTGTATTATTAACGTTTCCATTTGCCTGTTCGCGATCAGGTGAACGGCGTGTCTTACGTTTCGTGCTGGTGTGTTTCGATTAGAATTTCAGTTAGAAGACGAGACGTCTTAGGTGGAACGTTAACGGCGCGATATATGTATAATGAATCGATGTTGGATTGTGTCGAGGACGCGCGAGACATTCAGCCGCAACATTCGACAGATCGCTTTATTATTTAGCGTGGCGATGAGGAAAAAATTACGTTCATGATGTTCAGGGTAATATTCGTGTAAAAAGATTATTTACGCTACGTTTAAGAAAGGCGACGCTCGTCGTGACACCTTGAGAAACAGTTTGTCGAATATTAAACCGTCCACTCTTAAATATTCATGAATGTCTTACTCGAGAGACGCCGCGATATCGATATTTTACGACGAACCGGTTGCTCGATAGTTGCGAGTCTCGGCGAAGATTAAATAATTACACCGCATTCTTGCTCACTGCGAGCGAAACAGAATTATGTACGCTCTTGATAAACAGCCCATACAATCGCGTGTTAATATCAACGTGCCGCGAACCCTGATACTATTTGTGCCGATTAATTAAAACGATCGTAATTAGCGCGACACGGAAAAGCCACGCTCGCAGTTAACCACCTGATCTTATCTTTGGCCACGAAACCGTACTGAATACGAGAACGTTTCTCGGACTTTCCTCCGAGGATGCCGACTTTTTTATTAGATTATGTCCCCCGATATAGCAGCGCCCGGTTGAGCCCAGCATTAGCATATTTCAGACTGTATAATTTATGCACCCATTACATCACGAGGGAGTAAGGGCCGGAGCTAAAGGGTGGACTTTCGTACATTGAGACTGGAATAGGAGGAGGAAGATGGTCTCCATGTATCCATTCGTAAAGTCTTATTTATCGATTTTCTACGTCAATGGGATCTGTGTGTATACTTGCGTATTATTTGAATCTAAATGTAGCGTGTAGGCGATTTTAGAGTGATTCATTTCGCGTGGGGGATTTTGAAATACGTCGGCGCATCGATATTATGGCATACGGAAATATCGAGGAAATAGATAGGCCAAGAATCACTATGATTTCGATTTTTTCTAAATCCTTCGTCGTGCAATTTAGTGGATACTTCGGTTGGTTCTTTAACATCTATATGTCGTCATCCATTGCTAAAATTAATTACTTTGTTTTTCTCAATTATTCATCCTATAATTATTAATTTATAATATCGTAGACGATGTGTCGTCAATCTTGCACACAATTAAACGGTACTTCTAAGACGAACGATCCGAGGCAACAATTTGAAGCATCGATTTAGTCGTTAGAATCTTCCATTAAAAAAGTATACGATTATCTAGAAGACTAGTAACAACAGGAATATTTTACTGTCCTGTAGACATATTGAAACGATACAAGCAGCTAGTGTTCGTGGAGGAGAGGGTCCTGTAGATTGAGTTTCACCCCTCGTCAACAGGAATGACTGATCGATAATATAGCCTCGTGAAATATCTAGTACGAGCTGTAAATGGTGAACGGGCATAACGCACTTAAATGGGAAATTTAAACGGCGGACGAAGAAGAGGGCGATGACGGCGAACATGTTGGACCATATGCTGCTTCGGATTAGGAACACATATTACGCGCGAAGTGTTGCTACGAACTGCTGGAAACGGCTTAATTACTATTATTATCGAGATAATAATACGAGCGTAGGAATCTCGACACCTGGAATCTAACATTCCCATAGCGTCGAGTAATCGGTGAGTTTAAGCAACCGTTACGATAATTTTCCCCGAACGTTCAAATGATATTTTAATTACCTCGTCTGAAGCTCGAGTGGCATCGATGATTTATATTGTGTCATACAGCGATTAGCTGTCTCGTGAATCAGCCAAACGTCCGGCTAATTTAACCGATGCAACTAATGGATCTTTCTCGTCGAACTTAGAGGCTCGACTTTAATTCCTTTTAATCAATTTAGAAAGTTTCTACCTATGCTTGCCACGGAAATTGCTATTTGGAATAATGTAGGTCGATGCCAAGAATTTTCGCAGGATAGGTACGTGGAACCGCGTTGTTGCATACGGAAATCCGGCGTGGCGAATAGCATGTACAATAGCGGTCGTACGTTTACGTACATTTAGCGAGATTAAATTTGATTACTCGTATATTTATCTATTTACGAGGAACAGTTATGGAAAAATTAATTCCAACGCAAGAGACAGTAAAACGTATCCATTAATTAATTATACTTAGAACGTTAATATTTCGTTATCTAGAAGTCGAGCTTTGGCTCATGGTCAGATAGCGAAATGGTATGTGTATATCCTACTGTATAGACAACATCCTTCGTAACGAGCTTCGAGCTCTCTCGAAGACGAGCGCGACTTCTCCGACGACTCTGCGACGCTTTTCTGTTCGTATCTTGAATCCAAGCTGATAACGTTCCCGATACTCGCTCGTTAGTCGCGAGCAGAAAGTTGTCCGGTTATTCGTT